CTACTGGCTGGATGTTTTAGCTGCCCGCGGGAGGACCCAGGGGTGTTCGGGGGTCTGAGCGTGTGCCATGTGCAAGTTCTTTTTTTTTTTTTAATTATTTTTTTAAATATCTATTTTATTGATTTTTTTTTACAGAGAGGAAGGGAGAGGGATAGAGAGCTAGAAACATCGATGAGAGAGAAACATCGATCAGCCGCCTCCTGAACACCCCCTACGGGGGATGTGCCCACAGCCAAGGTACATGCCCTTGACCAGACTCGAACCTGGGACCCTTCACTCCGCAGGCCAGCGCTCTATCCACTGAGCCAAACCGGTCAGGGCGATGTGCGAGTTCTTAACACACACACACACACACACACACACACACACACCTAGGGATTCGTGACTAGGGAAGGGGCACACCGTGCTGCACCCACACAGCGGCACGTCTCTGAGCAACCCAATGGGGCGCGCGGTTGACACTGCGAGGATGAATTTAAAAATAAACCCAGCGGAGGGAAACGGGCAGCGGCCAAAAGGACCCACCCTGGGCGTCCCTGTCTCAGGAACAAGACGCCAACTAACCTGTAGGACAAAGAGGACACTTTGGGGGCTGGTGGGTAGGTGCATTATCTTGGTCGTGGGGATGGTTTTGATGGGAAACTCAAGACGTTAAAAGTTTTTAGTGTTAGGCCGATAGTTAATGGGCTCGGACATGAATGCACGTAGAAAGCTATGGTTGCAGGGACTGGAATGTGTGACCTGCGCGGCCTTCAGGAGACCCGCAGCCATTCGTTGTGCCCGGGAGGCCTGCGAGCGACCTAGACGGTATCGGAGCCCTGGTGCTCCAGAGAGAGGGCGCCTGCCGCCCGCATGCAGATGAAGGGGTGCCTGGCAGATGAAGGGGTGACCGGCAGATGAAGGGATGCCTGGAAAATCACAGGCTGCAGCTTTTATCTGATTAACCTTTTCCCCTGAATTCCAAACCCCTTACTTACTTTCTCCTGAATTCCAAACCCTTTACCTACACTTTCCTGTTCCTTGTAAAAAGCTTGGCTTGAAAGGAGATGTTAGATGGTCCCGATAGCTGGCCGCCAGAACAAAGGTCCATAGAGATCGAAGCCTTGTCTCTACTTGTTGGTGCTGGTGGGGGCGGGCAGCACACACGCCGACGTCCCGCTTTCAGGGTCCGAGTGGGTCCACCCACCCGGCAGTTTTGAGACAAGCGCACACTTTAAACGGGCGGTTTACTGTATGTCAAAGCCCCTCAGTAAGTCTGCACAAAGAAAGTAGCCGCAGCTTTATTGGTGCCACAGTACGTCCCCTCTGTCCCACGCGTGCACTTCTGTGCGCTGCAAGAATAACTCTACATGGGGAATTAGTTAGGGACTCCGGGCTGCTGCAGGCAGGGGATGTTTTGGGGATGTCGTCTGGTTCTCCAGTGCAGGGGCGCCGAGACTGTGGAGCCGATCCCCTAATTTTGGTTTTGGGGCACAGTGCATCTTTTTTTTGTTTTTTAATCTTCACCTAAGGACCATTGAATTTTTTTTTTTTTTTTTTTTTTTTTTTTTTTTTTTTTTTTTTTTTTTAGGGAGAGTGAAGGAGAGAGATAAAGACAGAGAAAAACATCGAAGTGAGAAAAAGACATCAATTGGCTGCCTCCTGCAAGGCCGACCAGGGCCCAGACCAGGGAGGAGCCTGCAACCGAGGTACATGTCCCTGATCAGACTCGAACCTGGGACCCCGGGTCTGCGGCCGCGCTCTATCCACTGAGCAAAACCGGTAGGGCCAATGTATCTTGAAGAAATCTGGGACCCAGTGACGGCTTAAAAAAAAAAAATTATATATATATATATATATATATATATATATATTTGATTTTTTACAGAGAGGAAGTGAGAGGAATAGAGAGAAACATCGATGAGTGAGAAACATCGATCAGCTGCCTCCTGCACAACCCCTACTGGGTATGTGCCCCCAACCAAGGTACATGCCCTTGATCAGAATGGAACCTGGGACCCTTCAGTCAGGCCCACGCTCTATCCACTGAGCCAAACCGGTTAGGGCACGGCTTTTTTTTTTTACCCAGAAATTCTACAGCCAGTAAAAAGTTGCAGTCCCTTTAAGCTTGGAATTTCGGGCAAGGTGGCAGGAGGCCTGCAGCTCGTTCTCAGCTGCGCGCGCAGCCGCAGAGAGGCCGCTGGAGGCGCGGTGCTTCCTGGTTTCTGTGGCATGAGTTGTCCCCATCGGCGACTAGCCCTGGACACAGCGCGGCTCCTGATTGGCTTGGCTGCCTCCCGCGCGCTCCGGAGTCCGCGGCCCCCGCGCAGGGCGACTTTGCCGGTAGTGGCGATGTCCGGCCGGTCCAAGCGGGAGTCTCGTGGTTCCACCCGCGGGAAGCGCGAGTCCGAGTCACGGGCCAGCTCGGGTCGCGTCAAGCGGGAGCGAGATCGGGAGCGGGAGCCCGAGGCGCCGATCGCCCGCGGCAGCCCGGTGCGCGTGAAGCGGGAGGTCGAGTCGGCGAGCGCGCGCGAGGCCCCGGCCCCCGTGGTGCCCGTGGTGCCCGCCGTGCGGGTGAAGCGGGAGCGCGAGGCGGACGAAGACTCCGAGCCTGAGCGGGAGGTGCGAGGTGCGCGGGGCCGGGCCGGGCCGGGCTCGGGCTCCACTCCCGCGTTCTCTCCTCTTCCCTTTCCAGCCGTTCCTCCCCGGGGCTGGGGTGGGGGGAGTCCCCCTTCACCGGTGTCAGCCGCACGGCTCTCGCCTGCGTCTTAAGAGGGATAGTCGCCTGAATGGTAACCACAGTCATACGATTTCTGAGCAACAGCAGTAACAGTCGCAGCTTTACTTTAGCGAGTGCCCAACACGGGCTAGGCGTTGTGTTACTTATTTTACAGGAGTCACCGTCAGTGTTTACAAACATCTGAGAATCCAGTCTTGCTGTAATTGCTGGAATCTGACTATTCAGAGTTGAAAGTCTGGACGCTGGGCACCTGCGCCTGTCATCCCGGCCAGGAGACCTGGATTCTCATCCTGACTCTGAGTCACTGTGGTTTGGGAAAGTGGGGTTCGCGTTTTTGCGAGAGAGAGAGAGAGAGAGAGAGAGAGAGAAAGAAAGAGAGAGAAACAGAAACAGTGATGTGAGGGAGAAACAGTGATCGATCAGTCAAACCTGCAACCTAGGTTATGTGCCCTGACGGGGAATCGAGCCCTCAACCTTTAGGTGTCCCGGAGGACACCCCAACCAGCCCAGCCACCTGCCAGGGCTGATATATGCTCTTTTTTTAAAAATTTTTTATTTTATTTTATTGATTTTTTTACGGAGAGGAAGGGACAGGGATAGAGAGTTTGAAACATCAATGAGAAAGAAACATCGATCAGCTGCCTCCTGCATCCCTCCTACTGGGGATGGGCCCGCAACCAAGGTACATGCCCTTGACCGGAATTGAACCTGGGACACTTCAGTCCGCAGGCCAACGCTCTATCCACTGAGCCAAACCGGTTACAGCTCTGTCTCATTATTGATGTTTCTATCTCCCCCTCTCTCTGGAGTCAGTAAACAGAATATTTAAAAAATTGTGAAGAGTCTAAGATCTTACCCTGTTTGCAAGCTACCACGTTCGCCTGTGGCAGATTCATGGCTGCTGAAGGAAGACGCGGGACAGTTGGGCCTCAGACGATGTATTATTCCGTTGGTCACAGTAGGCAGAGTGTAGCCTTGGTGTCATTTCCCCGTCACTTCTCACAGCGCGACACGAAGGGAACCCCGTGGGCTCGGGTGGCCCCGCAGCAGAGGAGCTCCGAGTCCAGAGAGCCTGCGTCTTGATGAGGGGCTGTAGACTGCCTCCCCCTCCTCTGGCCTCCAAGGCTATTCACTATGCAAATGTCTTTGACCAGATAGTCTGGAGCTGTTGGTGCCTCTGGTCACAGTATGTGCAGAAATACGAGGTGACCCCTAACACTGTTCAGCTTAAGAAGTGGGACACAACCAGCATCGTAGGCGCTCCCCTAGGCCCCTGCCCAGTTGTCTGCCTTCTTTGCTTCAGTATTCACTTCTGAATATTTTCTGGTCCCTTCTGCT